TTCCAACTTCCTTGCAGACTCTGTTGCTTTGGACCTTCTACCATAAGTACCTACATTCATCCAGCTTTTTAAATAATAATGTCTGTAAAATCACAGTTCCACTTCTGCCCCTATACAGATGCATTCTGTCTTGCTATCAAACACAATGTGTCAAATATTGTAAAAAACCCATAAAAACACTAGTTCTTTAATTTTCTTCCTTTAATCACAGAAACAATCCAACTTGTTGGAATCTGTGGTTTTAAACTAATACGATTATACAACAAGTTTAAACTGAAGAAGCAAAAAATAAATAAATAAAACCTTCATTTTGTATCCAAGCAAGGTATTTGTTTGCAAAGCATGTCTTACCTCATCAGAAGTGTTCCTCCTGTCAGGCAGCACCAGAGTGTTTGCGTGACTTCCAGGTACTATAGTAGATCCTACACTCATCCTGGGTCCTACTAACATGTAGCGTTTGTCTCCAGATCTGTACTGGATGCTGTGACACATTGTCCCATCATAATTAGCCTCTTGGAGATATTTAGAAGTATATTCTGTGGACTTGGAGCACTGCATTGCAATCAGCACGATGATGCTGATGAGGAACAGAACCGACACTGAGCCCAAAGTGATCATCAGGTAAAAAGTCACATCAGTCTCCTCATCATCTTTGGCTGAACTCTTCACATCAGAAGCTGCAAAAGCCTCTTTGGGCTCCACCACTTTGACAATGACAGTAGCTGTTGCTGACAGTGACACGTTGCCATTGTCTTTGACCAGGATGAGCAGTTTATGCTCAGCCTCGTCTGTCTCTGTGAATGAGCGAAGTGTTCTGATCTGTCCTGTGTAGCGGTCCAAACCAAACAGACTGTGGTCAGTCACTTCCTGCAGTGAGAACAGCAGCCAGCCATTATATCCTATATCAGCATCATAGGCTCTGACTTTAGTCACCAAGTGTCCTGCGTTCACGTTGCGGGGAACCTCCTCCACACCTTCAGCAGAACCGTTCGAGCTGACTGGATACAGGATGACTGGAGCGTTGTCGTTCTGATCCAGAATGAAGACGTTCACTGTCACGTTGCTGCTCAGGGACGGACTTCCAGAGTCTGAGGCCACAACTTGGAACTGGAACGTTTTCACAGTTTCAAAGTCGAAACTTTTTAGAGCCACAATGTCTCCAGTTTCTGAGTTTATGTTTAGAAATGAAGTTAATTTACTGTGTTCATCTCTGTCTCTGACAATATGATAAGAGATGACTGCCTTATCTCCTTCATCACCATCAGAGGCTTTCACAGAAAACACTGAGGCTCCTGGGTTGTTGCCCTCAGTGATATAGAAAGTATATGGACTCAGTGAAAACTCTGGACTGTTGTCATTCACATCAGACACAACAACATGTATTGTCTTTTCAGATGATAATGGTGGCTGACCTGCATCTTTTGCAGTTATTGTCAAATCATAATGAGACTGTTTCTCTCTGTCTAAAGGAGATTTGGTGACAATTGAAAACATTTTATCTTGTAAGGATGGAGATAAACTAAACTGAACTTCCTGATTTATCGAGCAAATAACTTTTCCATTAAGACCAGAGTCCAGATCGTTTACACTGATCAGAGCAACAGTAGTTCCTGGTCTGGAATCTTCAGGGATGGAGCTAGAAAATGAGGTCACTTCAATCTCAGGAGCATTATCATTAACATCAACTATTTTAATCAGAACATTTTTTTCTGCTGTAAGAGGAGCAAGACCTTTATCAGATGCTTGAATTTCTATGTCATATTTGTCATTTAGCTCATAGTCAATTGGCCCTTTAACGGTTATTTGTCCTGTAGATTCGTTAAGATCAAAAAGATTTATAACATTGCTGCTTACACTGTGGCCGAATGAATAAATAACCTCTGCATTTTGACCCTCATCCAGATCAGTTGCATTTACTTGTATAACTTCTGTCCCTACAACAGCATTTTCCATGAGAGTAGCAGAATAAACATCATTTGAAAACATTGGTATGTTATCGTTGACATCCAGAACGTTTATTACAATAGCCATCTGCCCTGATTTGGGAGGTTTCCCTCCATCTAGAGCAGTTAACACTAAGGAGTGGCTTTGCGCTGCTTCTCTGTCTAATGGTTTCTGTAGAACTAAAATTGGTATTTTGCCATCTTTCCCTTTATCTTTTACGTCTAAACGGAAGTGGTCGTTTTGGCTAAGTTTATACTGCTGCACGGAGAAAGAACTGCTGTCTGGGTCTTTCGCAGGTTTCAGCTGAAAACGAGCTCCGGCTGGAACTGTCTCAGAAACCTCCAATGTTTTCTCTTTTTCCGGGAAACTGGGAGCGTGATCGTTTATATCCAACACCTCCACTCCAACGTTGTGCACCTCTAGCGGGTTTTCTAACACAGTTTTCAGATCGATCAAACACACGCTGCTCTGCGCGCACACCTCTTCTCTGTCGATCTTTCTGCTCACATAAAGGACGCCATCATTTTCGTTTACACTGAAGAGCGGATCCGCACCTCCAGAAACGACGCGGTATTTCCTGGTTTTCAGAGTGTTTCTATCCAAACCCAGATCCTTTGCCATATTCCCAACCACAGCCCCTTCATTAACTTCCTCGGAGATCGAATACCTTAATTGTGCCGATGCTGCACTCCACAAAAGCACAGCGAGCGCACACCGGGTGAAACGTCCTGTAACCATCCGCTTCTCGAATCCTCTTTGTTCCATAATTAACCCAGATCGCATTGGTGCTCACTCAAAAATAAGAATGCGTCCATTAGAAGTATTACATGTCATCCATGTGTAGAAAAAAATCACCAGATTATCACGATGAAAGAAGACAAAAGGCCAAGTCCAACGAGCATCCGAAGCTCACATGCGCGTCAACGTCAGACTGGAGAGGCTAACGAGAGGCTGAACCAAAATTCAGAGACAAAAAGCAACCCAATGGTTACTTGTACAGTTATACTGACACCATGTGACCTAAATCCAGCACATCTATTCAATAGACTACCAAAAATATTATTTAAGTTTAAAACATGTTTGATTGCTAAATATCTGCTATTCATTTGAAAAAGAATTGTGCCAAAAATAGTTACACTTGCACAATATTTCTAAAATTAAAATAACTAAAATTAGAAACTAAACCAAAAGTTTCAATAAAAATATACTTCCCTTAAATGAATGTTGCTTGACAATAGCATGTAGTTTATATTGTGCTAACTCTGTTTCTTAAAAGGAAACTTCTCAGCATCATGGACAGCGATCCTCAACTCATCCAGATATGTTTATCTGGATTTTCTATCTCCACCCTTTATATTAAAACGGTTTTCAGTTCGACCCATAAAATTGATGATTTTCGACAATTTGAAGAAGCTTATCTTTGCAAAAAATAAAAAAAAATATCTAAAAAATTGAAAAACAACTTTATCTTCCATAATATCCCTTCGTATGTTGCCACAGTGAATCACCTGTTTGTTTTAGTTGTCTTCGTCTGCATCTTTTTAAATCACACCGACTAACTTTATGTCTTCTTTCACTTCCTGGTCTTCCCACAGCCTCCTTCCTGGTGGCTCCAACATCAGCATCTTCTTAACTATAATCATTGTTTCTCCTCTGGACATGTCCAGACATCTCTATCTGGCCTCTCTGACATGAACTCCAAAACATCTAGCATGAGCGGTACCTCTGACGTCCTCTTTCCTGATTCTGGAACTTTGTCACTTCCAAAGACATCCT